CAAAACAGCAATATTTGGGGAGTGAGAGACACATGGAATTTTTTTTTTTGTATCATCTTTGCAAATCTTCCAAAAGTCTAAAATTATTTTAAAATAAGAAGTTATGGGAAAAAACAGGATAAGTTAAATCTAACATAAACTGATGGACAATGAAAAATCTACAGGATATATTTAAAATCTCAAGTTGCAGAATAATTCTTACAGTAGGAGAAGAGGGATTGAGGGAGCAGAGATATAAAATGAGGAAACCTCTTTTTTAAGCTTTGTATATATTTATATATGACTGAATATTTTCCAGTAATTAAATATTAAATTAAATACACTAATTAATCACCCCTTTCCACTATTCCCCCCGAGAGATTAATGCCCCCTGTAAAGGAGGAGCTGGACCACCAGGTAACAAAGGGGAGAGAGGTATAGGAGGGAGTAAAGAAAACCAGTGCTTGGGTCTATGACTCAGTGGTATACCTTACCTGAAATTTCAAAATATAAATGATGAAACTATAATTCCATACGGGCATCCACATAAAGAATTCTATGTCACATGAATGAAACCCATCTGAATGACAGAACGTTAATCTCACACCTCATATCTTCCCAAGTGCTGTGTAAAGAACGCCAAAGCAGAATCACGACCCGGTAGCTTCTGCAGGTGGCGGTTCACAGGAACCATACCTGAGGCAATGATGCTCACTGGCTGGTTCTGAAACCCTCCACCAGCCTGGCATCTTCCATTTGCTCAGAGCTACTGCACTCAATCAATACAGGGCCTTTTAAAATGCCTCTAAATATTAATCATCTGTGTTGTCGTGATTGAAAGTTACTAATAGCTACTAGTAAAAAGGAAAGAAAGAATTAACCGAAGATTTTGTTTTGCACAGGCTACTTCAAAGGAAAAAAGCATACAATGTGGTGGGGAAAAGTCTACGAAGTTTGCAATGTGGGACTTTTCCCAAAGTTCCAAAAACTGCTATAACATAAATTAATAAACATATATATCTATGTCCAGCCCTAAAGAAACATCTTATGTTCTGCCATTAGGTCACTGTCATATTCTTCAGTAGTCAGCAGTCACAGCACTTTTCCCAACAACTTGTGTTTGTTTTTTAAAAGATTTCTCATGCCTTTCTCTTCTCTTTCATGGAACTGGATCTACGTTTAATATGACAGTTAATTTAACACTATTTTTCCCCTAACACAACCCACTTTCTGCATTTCACCCTGGAGTCTGTGTATCATTCCCTGGCCCTCTCCTTATACCATATTATCAATTTCAGAACTCAATTTAATATATCACCTGTGAAATTCAAACTTCTTCGCCACCTGCCCTCTGAAGTTCAGAGACGACTGTTACCTGTTGGCATTTGTCTTAATTTAGTGAAAACAGCTCGTTTTTAGACTGCTGTTGCCAATGTACACAACCCCACTAACCATGACCCTGAAGTGGTCTTCTCAGGAGCCTCTCAAGACGTTGTTACCATTGGAAACCAGGCCCCTGCCTGCCACTGGTAATGGCTGCTGTCAGCGCCGCAGCCAAAACAAAATGACAAAGGGTCTTGACTCTTCAGTTTAAAACCAGTGCCAAACAGTTACAGGACCTATGTGAAGGCTCAGACCCTTTGATCCAGTAATTCCCTTGCGAGGAATTTGTCTTTAGGAAATAATTCAAAAGAATTTTTAAAAAATCCATATTCATGAACATGTTTATTTCAACATTATACATAAATAACATGAAACTTGGGACCAATGCTACTATCCAAAAAGAGAAAAACAGTTATGAAAATCATGGTGAATCAACTCAGTGGAATATTATAAAGCCACTGAAATGTGACTTCTAAAGACTACGTAACACAGAATAAAGGTTAGAAGCAAATCTACGTGAAAAAAGAAAAGTGAAAAATTGTACTTTTTAAGAAACACTACAATGGAATAATAAAAATTTAAAATTAACCATGTTATGTAAATTTTTTCCTAAAAAATTTAAAATGTTTACTTTTTGATTTTACAATAAACAAAAATGGGAAAGAACATAAATAATCCCAAAAATCCTCTTCTCTGAGGCCAATAAAAGCCTGAAAATTTGAATTTTCACATTCCTGTATAGAAAATTAAACTATTTTCAGAATCAGCAGGAACACATTATCTAAGAGCAAACCTGAGATTATACAGTTCCAGGATCTGAAACTCATTTTGGACAGATGTAGAATCATGTATAACCCAAAAAACCCACTGCTGTCGAGTTGATTCCTACTCATTGAAACCCTATAGGACAGAGTAGAACTGCCCCATAGGGTTTCCAAGGCTGTAAATCTTTACAGAAGCAGAATGCCATGTGTTTCTCCCGCAGAGTGGGATGGTGAGTTAGAACTGCCAAACTTTGAAGAAGAATTAGGTATTAATCCAGAACCAACAGACTATACTGTTATCTACAACCTTGTACAGCAAATTTTGTACAGTTTTTTTGTTTTAAATTAACAAATACATATATTCTAAGTTTCAGGGGAGTTTGAGAGGGATAGGGAGGAGGCCATAGGTGTGAGTCAAGAATGCAGTGGAACTAGGGCTGAAACTTTTTAGAAAAGTAAACTACTGTAACATCACTACCCCAAGGAGGTGTCTCTGCTATCCCCTTCTGCACCTTCAGATCAGAAGCCATGAAACGCACAGCATCCTCGGCACAGAAACCATGTCGCCTCTTCACAACCATCCTTCCTCATAAGACCCTATCCCTGTCTCTGCACGACTTTTCTTGTGCTTAAACATGAAACACTTGGCTGAAAAATGAAACAAACATATCCAGTATGGTCAACATTCCTAAATGAAACCGTACAAGGCTTAGTTAGGTCCGATCCATCTTCTTTATTTTGTAATTAACCACCTAAACGGCTTAAGAAGCTTCTGGCTTCATTAAACAATCTGAAAACAGAAGGAACTTTTTCCCTAAGGAATTAGTCAAGAAATTATTCCTCTAATAATACATTGTTACCTGATGCTAAATGCCAAGCCACCGGTAAAAATTTGTTCTCAAAGATTCTAAATAGCGTGCGGCACTGGTTTGGGAACCAGTTGCTAAGTAGAAGGGAAGGAGTGGTGTGGGGAGGGGAGAGCTGGTAATGGAAGTACCAGTAAAAATCATGGGTCTCCTTTTTGATACTGGCATATTAATAATGTTGGCAAAAGGGTCCCTAGCATTCATACAATAGCAATTGGGCTAGATATTTTTTTCCTAAAGAAAAAAATCTTCAGTTCTGTGTAAATTAGGAATTTCACCCAAACCAAAAAACCCACGCTATAGGGTCGATTTGGACTTACAGCCACCCTATAGGACAGAGGCAAATTGCCCCATAGGGTTTCTAAGGCTGTAAATCTTTACAAGAGCAGACTGCCACATCTTTCTCCTGTTGAGCGACTGGTGGGTTCGAACCACCGAACTTTCAGTTAGCAGCCAAGCGCTTTAACCATTGCACTACCAGGGCTTACCAGGAATTCCACATGTTGAAATAATATGAGAAAAATATAAATCAGAAAAAAGGTGGGAAAGATAATCCAAACTGTTTTATAAAACACTGTATTTTCTAACTGTGGGGGAAAAAAAAAAAGAAAAAGCAATTGCCAATGAGCCGATTCTGACCCATAGCGACCCTATAGGACAGAGTAGAACTGCCCCATAAGGTTTCCAAGGAGCAGCTGGTGGATTCGAACATGCCGACCTTTTGGTTAGCAGCCGTAGCACTTAACCACTACACCACCAGGGTTTCAACTGTGGAAGGAATTTTCTAAATTTTCACCTTAGAAGGCCAAACAGAAGAAAAAAATGTTCTCTGTTAAGTTCATGTGTTCATCTGGGTCTCAATATCTTAGTCTAAAACTGTACTGTCCAATATGGTACCCACTAGACAAAGTGAGGCGTCTTGGTGGCAGAAAAGTTAAACACCTGGCTGCAAGGTAGGTGGTCTGAACCCACTCAGTGGCTCTGCGAGAAAAAAGACCTGGCAATCTGGTCCTATAAGGATTACAGCCTATGAAACCCTACAGGGCAGTTCTATTCTGTCCTTCAGGATTGCTATGAGTTAGAATCGACTTGATGGCCCACAACAACAATAGCCACATGTGTCTATTGGGCACTTAAAATGTCATTAGTCCATGCTACAGAAAAGTCATTCAATGTACAACTACCTTTAAATTGGATGGATGAGGTATGGACTATTTCACAGACCTCCTATCGTTAGTTACCTAGGTTGGTTTCATTTTTTAATCAATTATTGAATAAATCAAACTTGTCATTTGAAAAAAAAAAATTATTAGTCCAAATGGAGATGTGCCATATATGTAACACACACACAAGCACCGTCCCATAAAGATTTCAACCTAGGAAAACCTGTGGGACAGACCTGCTGTCATAGAGGCTCACTGCGAGTCTGGACAGACTCAGTGGCACAGCTGCACACCACAGCAGCAGCAATGCAGTTTACAGGCTACTCCAGGCAAAGAATAAAGGCAAATAAGAACTACGTCATCTGGTCACACTCCTTTTTTGCTTCCCACTATACTGATGTCTGATGCCCTATAATGAATAATAAACTCTGTGGGTTTTTTTTTTTTTTTCCTTTCAGTTTTAATATCCATAAGATAGGAATTACAGAATTAGAAAATTTTAGAGGTCTTATATTCCAGTGGTTCCCAAACATGATGGCACTTTTAAAACACCTGGAGAATATGTGAAAAACATTAACACTAGACTTGGTCCTTGGAGATTTCTGATTCAGTAGGTCTGGGATGAGGTCCAGGATCCTGTTTTTCTTAGAAACCTCCCCAGGTCACTCTGAAGCTCAACCAGGTTTGGGAACCATTAGCCTAATTTAATTAATTTGTAACTTGGTAAAATAAATCATCCCACTACTAGACTTGGGGTCTCAGACCTGGAACCAGGACGCACGGCTCCTAACTCCAGCTTCCCGCCATCGTTAAGAAACATTGCATCGAACACACACATTACTCACTCCTCAAGGGATCCGGCTACCAGAATATCTTCCTGGTCAGTTTTAACATCCAGCTCTGGTTCTCCATTAAGCAAAAGCTTCAAGTTGTAAATAACCAGCAAAGTACCTGGTAGGAAAACAGATGTTTGACTGTCAATATTTTAAATACACTAAATGTTAGTCTTGTGCTATCATCTCATCCATGGGATTTAGCTGACCAAATGTCTTTTTGTACTTCAGTAAATAATATGTTTGCATAAGTTCCAAGATATATGTGCCTTACAGCAAATTCCACTCTGTCAAAGAGTGTGGAGCTTGTACAGCATGGAGATTCTTCTTACTACTAAATTCATCGTGAGTCTTTCAATACGGATTCTTAATCTTTGGTACACTATTCATAATTTGCATCATGAAAATTGTTAGGAGCTTGAACCAAATGTTATTATGAGTAAAGCTCTCATTGACAGAACTGGAATCAATGCATATAAGAAGAAATATGAGGTGAAAAAAAATTGTACAAATACAAAACACTGCCTCCAGACTCTATGGTGGGAGTTTGCAATTTTTTTTTCTGTAAAGAGTCAAATAGTAAATATTGTAAGCTTTGCAGGCCCAAACAGTCTGTGTCACAACTACTCACAACTCATCTCTGCTGTTGTAGCACGAAAACAGCCATAGAGAATACATAAATGAATGAGTACGGCCACATTCCAATAAAACGTTATTTACAAAAATAGGTGGAGACCAGATTTGGCCCATGGGTCATAGTTGAATGGCCTCTGTTCTAAAGCATTGTTAACAAAAAGTCCAAATTCTTTACAAAATTGACTATGATATGAAGACAAACAGGACTGTTGGAGAAATCAAAACACCCAATTACATTTTTTTTTTTTTTTTTTTGGTAGTTCTTAACATGAGGGAGAACAGCATGGTGGCTAAGAATATGGAATCTGGAGGCCAAATGTTTGTGTCCAAATCTTGTATCTATCACTTATTAGTGCAGTGACCTCAGACAAGTTTCCTGACCTTTCTGTGCCTAACTTTTCTCACTTATAAATGGAGTCATGAGGCACTTATCACATAGCATTTTTCTGAGGATTAAATGATTAGTTTTTATAAAGCAGTTAGAAAAGAATCCAGCATAGAGTAAGACCTTCATTGATATTAGTATGAGTATGTCGCAGTTAGACGTCAACTAAAAGACTACATAAAACCAAACCAAATTGAATCCATTGCCATCAAGTCAATTCCAACTCATAGCGACCCTATGTGACAGGGTAGAACTGCCCCATAGAGTTTCCAAGGAGGGCCTGGTGGATTTGAACTGCTGACCCTTTTAGTTACCAGCTGTAGCTCTTAACCACTATGTCACCAGGGTTTCCAAGACAGTACATAAACTGTCCTTAAAATACCTCATGAATAAGGTAATAAAATCAATAATATAAGGGAAAGAATTTTGAAGGTCAAGTAGGCCAAATCAGAAACAAATTTCTCAGAATATCACTACAAACATTACATGAATCAAGCAGTTGCAGAAAAGCAAAATACACGTAGCTTTTTCTAGAATAGGGTTCTTTGTGATTCTAAATATGAGAAGTGGCAGACAGAAGCATGGAGAAAGGTTGGCACTGAAAAATGTTAGTAGATAGCACATTCTATTGTTGAGCAAAAATTTGGTGGAGGCAGAAAGAATGGAGGAAATTTTTGTTGATTCAGAAAGAATGTTTACAAAGCTTTTCCTAATTCTACCACAGGAACCTGGATTTGTTACTTTACAAGTCACTAAGCCTCTCATAGGACGCTGGTGGCACAATGGTTAAGAGATCAGCTACTAACCAAAAGGTCAGCAGTTTGAATCCACCAGCTGCTGCTTAGAAACACTATGGGGCAGTCAACGGCAATGGTTTTGTTTTGTATTTTTTTAACCCTCTTGTAAACCTGTGGTCACCTAGTAGCAGATGCTGCAGTAAATGTCTCCTAACTTTGTTATATGGTGCAGCTGTGGAGTCCCTGAGGTCTTAGCCTGTATCACCCTCCTCCCATGCAGTTTCAATAAGCTCTTGTAAGTACGGTACAAACCTTTCTCCCATTATCAGGGACTTACTGTGATTCACGTTTGGATTCTTTTAAGACAAAATTCATATGAATAAAATAAATGACTGCCCCATGTGAGATCCCATAAGAGCTTATAAATACAAAAAAGTGAAAACATATTTATAATATCTTTCATAAGACACTGAAAACAAATATTTCCATCAAAATTTCCATTTTGATGATCTTACCGCATTTTCCATAGATCATATCAAATTGCTGCATCAATTCAGCTTCAGTTTTAAATGGGGAGTATTTATAAATTATAGACAATTCCGTGGAGAATTTTATGGGATCATTGGTGACATATTCTCTGGTTCGTGTTAACCATGAAGGTATTGGAACCACAACCTTTAAAAAAATGAAAAACAATAAACAAAAATCATCATCTCTTTGTCTAATCCTAATTCATATACTCTCATCAAGGCAAATTATAAAACACAAAGTAAAGTTTATTTCCCCCTATACTCTAGTTTTACAGGGATAACATGACAATTAGGTATCCTCAGGGTTTCATTTTAAAATGATTCATTGTGAAATGTAGGGATGGGTAAAATCTACTTCAGGCTCCTCATAAAAGATGGGCAGAATGGCAGAGGAAACATCAGCACCAACATTTTAGAAGGTGAAAAGCAGGTGACTTAGCAGACCCCAAAGATGAACCCAAAGTCAATACCAAAAATAAGAACCAGCCTGATATATAATTGAGAAACCCCTGAAAGGCTCAGGGATTGACGGCATGAAGTAGCTCTAAACAAAACAAACAAACAAAAAACACGTTGCTGTTGAGTTGACTCCGACTCATGGAGACCCTTTGTTGTTGCTAGCTACGGGAAAAAACAAAAACAAACCCATTGCCATAGAGTTGACTTGACTATAATGGAAATATTTCTTTCTCTTGGAGCCATCAAGCAATATCAACATGGCCCATATCTTGATTTGGAATCTAGCCTCCAAAACAGTGAAATAATAAATTTCTGTTTAAAGCCATTTACTTTATGGTATTTTTTACATCAGCCCTAAGAAACTAAGACAAAGAATAACTGACATTGATCATAGTAAAACTCAGGCATTGCAAAAGAATGAAACGCCTTCTGGATCATCAGAGAGCAGAAATTACCGTCACTAGGGTTGCTATGAGTCAGAATCAATGCAAAGGCAGTGGGCTTTTTTGAGTTTAGAGTTATAGTTTGAAGTCTAATTTGCATCCAATTTCCTAAAATTGTCTTTGAATTCATTATTCTATTTACTTGAAACTTATAATCCATTTATGGCACAAGTGGTGGCAAAGTTTTGCAGGCTTCTTCCAAAAAGCTCACTGTACCAAAAGGAGTCTCTTATTCTTGGAGATCTGGTCACCTGGATAATGAAAATATGGCTCTAGAAGTTAAAAACCCACCCAAAGAAGGGTCAACAGGACAGGTCTCCTACGACCCCAGATTTCCCACCACCTGTTTCCTTTTTCCAAATATACTCCTAAATTTCTAAATAATAGAACATATGACACACTTTACATCCTACAGGACAAATTTAAAACACTACCATTACCACAGGAAAAGAAGGAAAACATTAAATCTTACCTCACTAAGACCTTCTCTTTCACAGAACGTCTGAGAGAAAAACACACAGGTCATTGTTTCTTCCCTCTTTGTAAAAAGAATGAAGTCTTTTCCAATTCTCATGGACCCACTATAAAATGAAGAAAATAATGGTTTACATCTCTAACACTAAAAAGAAGAAACAGGTGAGCACGGTGCTGTGTACTCTACCAGAGCGGTCTTTTCACAGAAAAAAGCCCCACTCTTTTGATGACCCATAACCAATAGGGCACAAGTATTATTACTTTTTTTCCTCAGAGTAGACAGGATGAATTTGAACTGATCTAGCCACATACTCTTGGTTGACTCATGGCTGCTAAAGCTACGCTGCTGCCTGGGGTCCCAGGCAAGAACAGTCACCTGGCCTTGGCAGAAGTCCACAGGTGACAGAGGCCTCATGGCCTCACCCCTGGTAGAGGTACATGAAAAAATAAACTGTGGGCACAGATCACCTAGGCCACGATGTGTTTTCAGGAACAACAGAACATGGAGACACAACAAAGCTCTAAAGCACATGGGCATTGTCCAGAAATTTCTGAAAGAAGATTCAGCTTATTATATTTAATTTAATTTAAATTTTTTTTAAAGTTGTAAAGATACAAGTCAGTTATGGATATGGTGATGTCAATACAAAGCAGGAACCCTATGCCTTCACCCCACCCTCCTGGACTTTTAGCCAAAATGACTATTTACCCCAGACTGATATTCTTTTTTAAGTTTTACATACTTGGATCATTCTGCATGAGACTGCCTTTAACTAAATATAGTTCCCAATTTCAGTAAGATATGCCTTAAGGGGAAAGCTGGCTCACCTTTTAAGACCATTCCCATACTGTCCAATGAACTTGAAGGTTGATAACCGTTTTTTGGATGTTCCAAAATAAATAATGTCCAAAGCTTCCTCTGTAAGCCACAAAGAATTTTAAGGTGGTTAGGAATTATGTGTCATGGATATTGGTCAGAGGTGCCATTGTCAGGACTTCACACAGATCTCAGGACGTTGGGACAAGTTTATACCTTTTGGGTCAGCCCAGAGATAAGGACTCTTGTCAGCTTCCATAATCTATATTTGAGGAGGTGAGAAGGCTTCACAGTCAGATAAACCTAGTCATATGACTTTAGGGAAACAGCATTTAAAAATCTGAGCCTCAGCCCAGATGGCTTCACTGGAGAATTCTACAAAACATTTAGAGAAGAGCTTGTACCAGTTCTACTCAAGCTATTTCAGAGCATAGAAAAAGAAGCAACACTTCCAAATTCATCCTATGAAGCCAGCATAACGCTGATACCAAAACCAGGCAAAGACATCACAAAAAAAAGAAAATTATAGA